GTTTTTTTGCCTCGAAGTATTGCATCGCACGTTACACAACATTTATCTCTTATGAAAATCATTCGTCGGGGACATGTTCCGTGTCTATTATCAGGACGACCTCGGATAAAGCAAGATCGGTCCTTACATACCGCATACTATTCAGATAGACCTTAATATTAATTGTTACAATATTTATACGACTTTAATATTAATTGTTACACTACCTGGACAAAAGTAAGAGCTTCACCAACTCGTCACCTGATCCAAAATACAGGGAGTGAATTTTTGACCAATCAAATAAGTCTGTAGTAAATAGCAAAATCGGCTATTTACAAGGAAATATTATTTGTAATTATATTTTTATTTTGCCAATTCTTAATGTTTTTTAGACGGCATATATGGAAGCGTAGGCCATCACTCTCAAAAGCAAAATACAGTGAAAGCGCCTATGTCATCCCGCGTTCTAGAACCAATATTCGCTTACTACAAGTTGCCGCTCATGCATGCATGGTATATATATATCTTACGTTTTTGTTTAATTTGTATTGTTAATGGCTTACGAATATTAATATACTATATTAATATTTATACTTACAGGGCTGAGCAAGTAAGCAAAGCTTCCAGAGATCGTAAACTGGGGACAGGGGCAACAACCTCAGGAAACAAACCCGATGTGCGTGTCAAATTGTTTTTTGAGGCTAATGTCGATGAGAGGAAACAGAGGAAGAACTTACAACAGAAAGACATGCAGACACTTCGTGAGTAGACGTGTCAACAATTTCTTTTTAATATAAAGTGGAAGAAGCATTTCGAAGATGGTATAGGAGGCTCAATGACAAACTCTTCGAGGGGAAGGATAAAACCTTGTGATGCTGCTCAGCAAATAGAAGATGCATTAAACAAGATTCCTGTTGTTGGACATCATATTACCCACTTCTGCTTTCTTTCGAATGCCAAAGAATGGAGCTGATGGCATCTGTTTTTGCACGGTTGAACAAACCTCAGCCCAACGAACGTCGTCGCTGTCCCAGTATTAGTATTAGTATGCTCACGGCAGCCATATTAAAGTAGAGGTCAATATTAGACGAGTGATGTTACATGAAACAGTCATAATTTTTGGTTTTGCGACATGTTAATAGTAACCTAATAATAATAATATTAATAATAATAATAACCTTTTTGCAACTCGGTGAATTGAATCTAGAACTGTGAATGCAGTCACAATCTTCTTAAAAACTGTCTTGAACTGGAACGTTTTCGGTTACAAATAGTCGAACCACAGCTGATGGTAGAAAGT